TAGAAAATAAAGTTTAAAGGTATGTTTATAATAGTATAAAAAATCAAGTATATAGGAAGAACTTAACAAAAGATACGCAAAAGTCTGGTAGGAAAAAATATAATACTTCATTGAGAGACATCAAAGAAGATTAAATAACTGGTGAGATATATCATGTTCATAGATTAGGAGACTTGGTATTTAAACATTTCAGTTTTCCCCAGATTGATCTATAGAGACAATACTGTACTAATCTAAATCCCAACACGATTATTTTTGTGCAGCTTGACAAGCTAATTCTAAAATGTATGAGACACCCAAAGGGCCAAGAATTGCTAAGACAATCTGGAAGAGATACCTCTCCGAGATCATCTTATTCTACAGCTACAGAAATTAAGACTGTGTGATATTGGCAGGAGCATAACAGATGGGCCAGGGAAATTGGCGAGAGCTGAGAAACAGATCACGTTTGATTTAGGACAGAGGTGGCTCTGCAGATCAGTGGGAATGATAGTCTGTTAAATAATGATGCTGAGACACCGAGTTAGACAGTCGCACCATTTACAAGAGCACACTGCAGGCATCCACATTACACCTAAACGTGAGTGAAAAGCTGCAAAGCTTGAGAAAATAATACAGGGGATTATCTTTGGGACCTCAGTATAAAGAGGTGTTTCTTAAAACTAAAGCACACCAGTCCTAAAGGAAAAGATTGATAAATTTGGCCATGTTGAAATTAAGAAAGATCAATGATGCAGTAGAAAATACCCATCATACATCTAACTGATCAGGGACCTACATTATGCATATATAATAAATTCCTACACACTAGTAGGAAAATGGCAGGCAGCAACCCCACAGAAAAATGGGCAAAAGACTTTACCAGGTATTAATACCTAAAAGCAAAGATCTAAGTGGTCAATAAACATTTTCCATTAACATCACTCATGTTGTATAAATTGGTATAATTGCTTTGGAAAACAGTTTGGCATTATCTACTTATTTGAATTTGAAGACATATCCAGTGGCCCAGTAATTCTACCCCCAGGAACGTACTGTGGAGAAACGAGAGCACATGTGCCCCCAGGAGACATGCACAAGAAGGGTCATAGCATCTGTGTTACCCACAGCTGTCATTAACACTGGAATTGCATCAATAACTGGTTATTCCTACAATGGATCACCATACAACAACAAAAACAAACTTATTTATGTATGATGATGTAGTTGGATCCTACAGACCTTATTAAGGAAGCAAGACACAAAATACATGTAGTATGATGCCAGTAATAGAAAGTTCAAAAATAGGCAAAACTACAGTATATATTATTTAGGGTAGGCATGCATACACAGGTGATAAAACGATAAAGAAAAGCAAGAGAATACTATAAAAATTAGTAGTTCCCTTTGGGAGGAAGACAGGGATGGGTTGAGGAGGGTCCAGGGGCACATGCTGGGTAGTGGTTAAGAGGGGTGTTCAGTTTATAATTAAGAAATTGCACATTTATGTTTTATGCGGAAGAAAATCAATTGCTGACCACAACAGGAGATTGAGAGGTTAAAAAAAAAATTAAACCTGAGAGAAATTACAAGGAAGGCGTTTCCTTTCAATGAGGAAGGAGATCTCAGAAAGTGATAAGAAAGGCTAAAACTTCTGAATTTTTTGTTTTACAGACTTTTTAAAATTCTAGGTATAATTTACGTACAATAAGATGCATAGATCTTAAATGTTCACTTCAATGAGTTCTGCTGTTATATACACCCTTAACCTGCACCCCAAAACAAAATAAAATATTTCCACCACCAGGAAAAGTTCCCTTCTACCCCTTTTTAGTAGGCCTGCCACCAAGAAGCAACCACCTTCTCTCACCTTGATGTAGCCTGTTCTTGAACATCATATAAATGAGATGATGCTATATATACTCTGGTGTCTGGCTTCTCTAAAATAATATATGTATATTTTAGATTCATTCCTGGTTTTATGTGTAGCAGCACTTTGTTCCTTTCTTACTGCTAAGTAGTTTTCCATTATACAAATATACCACAATTTATTATCCATATCTTATGGACGGACATTTGGGTTGTTTCCAGTTTTTGAATATCCGTTAATGTTTAAAATGCATTGTTTTGCTTGATGTTTATGGCAGGAAAGTTTTATTAACACGCTAGGTTATTTAAGGAATTGGGCAAAATCATTGCAGAATTATAAGCTTTTATTCTCCAGAATAAAAGCTGGCAACATGTTTGAAGACAATAAATTTGGAAATAAGATAACATGTTTAAAAATACAAAGACAACTGGACAAACCTAGTAATAGCCCTCGTGATAAAATAGGGTGTGTAGTTTGGCGGCCGAGGGCCAGGCCTTTATAGCTGAACAGTTCTGAGTACAAACCCTGGTTCTGCCACTGCCTGACTGTACAACTTTGGCAAGTGACTTACCTCCTCTGGGCCTTATTTTCTCCTCTGGGTAGCAGGAATCACAGTGCCTACCTTATAGGGAGAATTTGAATTAAGTAATAGATTTAAATAGAATGATGTTTGTAAAGTACGTAGTTTAGTGCCTCATGCGTAGTGCGTGCTCAATAATAACGACTTACGAGTAATAATATAATTGCTCTTGGTCTCACCAGCTGACATCTCAGAGAAGGACCATTTTAGGTTTGGTCTTTTCCGATGTAAACCACAACTCTCTGAGTGATTGAAAAGTCTGAGAAGATCAAGCCCCCTCCCATCCTTACTATCCCATAGCCACCTAAGGGCCAGGGTCAAAGGGCAGAGGGCTGGGCCGTGCTGTTTTGGGGCCAGCACACCCCTGAGCAGGTACTTCACTCCTGCCATTCTCACTTGGCAGGTTACGGAAGTGTCCTTTTGGACTCTGTTACATGACTGTGTATCAAAAAATCTCATTCTACAAAATAGAACATTGGGATGACATTTCAGTGATCTTGTTAGCGCTCATACTAATGTTATTTTGCTTTCTGGGTGACACATCTTAGAGATGACATAGAACAGAAAACAATGTTTAAAAATCTGTTAAATATTCTCACTAAGAACATAAAAATGATCAGAGTGAGTAGAAAATAGAACTGGCAGAAAATGGAATCAGTCACTGTTTTGTTTTCTATAGTGTAACAGTTAAAAGAATGGGCTGCCGAGCTGGACTGATGGGCTAGTTCTCTGTGGCTGCATAGCAAAACTCAGTGCCCAAAACTTAGTGCCTTAAAATAACAAACATTTATGATCTCACGGTTTCTGAGGGTCAGGAATCTGGGTATGGCTTAGCTCTGGGTGCCTCTGCCTCAAGGTCACGAGGATGCAGTCAAGGTGTCAGCCAGGTGTGTGGTCTCATCTGAAGCCTCGCCCAGGGCAGGATCCTCCTTCAAGCTCACTCATGTCGTTGTTGGCCTGAGAGCCTTGGTCCTTCACTAGCTGTAGGTCAGAGGCCACCATCAGTTCCTTGTCCCCTGGGCCACTCCAAGGGGTGGGTCACCACATGGCAGCTGGCTCCCATCTCTGTGAGCAAGCGGGAGAGAGCCAGGCAGGGACTGCACAGGCTTCGCCACCTAGTCTCAGAGGTGATCTACCTTCACCTTTGCCACGCACGGTCTGTTATCTAGAAGCACGGCACTAGGTCCAGCCCACAGGGGAGGGGATTTCACAAGGGCATGAATACCAGGAGGTGGGGATCCCTGGGGCCATTTTTGAGGCTGCCTACTTCAGTCTGCCCTCTGGTTCCCGATGCATCGCATCCCTCCCACGTGCAAAACTCCTTCACCCTCTCCAAGCTCCCAAACATCTCATCCCATTGCAGCATCTGCCCAAAGTCCAGACGCTCATCATCTAAGTCAGGGCTGGGTGGAGATGAGGCTTTTGGGGGCAGATATGTATTATCTGTTACTGTGTAACAAATCACCCCAACATTTAGCAGCTTGAAACAAACTCTTATGTCACTGGAGGATGGGATCACTGTGGCTGTCTTAGTGGCTTCCTGCACAACTGTCCGGGTTGACGCCCTGGGTCTGCCACGTACAGGCTGTGAGCCCTGGAGTTAGTCATTTCCCCTCCGAGCTTCACTCGCTCGTCTGTACAATGGGGCTAATAATATTACTTACCTGATAGGGGTAATGTAATGATTAAATAACATACTTTCTCAAGTAATTAGCACAGTCCCTGCCACAGAGTAAATGCTCAATACATGATAGTCATTTATAATTAATAGTATTAGAATTGTTACTGTTTTTCCTAAGAGAAAGCTTGAGCAGCTTTCTCAGAATGTGGAGAGAAGAGGATAAAGGTGGAGACAAAATGTCTGGTCTCAGACACAGACAGTGAGAATCCAGCCCGAACTCGCAGTCACTCTTCAAGGAGTCCAAGGAGATCAGAAGCAACGATTAGAGTTTAAAAAACAAAACACACTAAACAAGAGCTGTTTGAACCTGCTGATTAAAGTATCTCACACGATCCGAACAGTATTAGACTGTCAGGATAGGGAAGGGCATGGGGGGCGCATATTTAGGGAAGGCGTTGTGGGAAATAACTGAGCCCCCTGGGAGTGACTGGGTGAGTCCCCCCTATCATACCTGCACGTGAGTGACCGCAGACCCGTGCAGTTTGGAACATTGCAAAGGGGAACTGTGACCACGCTGCCTTTACCGTTATCCACACAGCCTCAGGATGCAGGGCCCAGCTTTAGGCCCGAGCAGGACTCCCTTCCATGCTGTACTGTGACCAGCACGAGAGGAAACAGGTCCCTTCTCCTCAGCCCTGTCTCCGAATCTGAACCAGGCTGGGTTAGAGGGTTTCTGAGGGCCCTTATGCTGTAAAGGTCAGATTCAAGGTCAGGACCCCACTTACCATTCGGCTGTGCCCACAGCGCTGGGTACCGTCCGGGTTCGGCAAATGCGGCTGCATTACACTCGTGTTGGAGTGGCGTTCCCACGCAAACGTGGTGTGTCTGTCCTCCCTGCCCGGCCTCCAGCCCTGACCTGCCTCCCTACCTCCTCTTCTTCCCCACGCCAGGCCAAGTGCAGGAACATGGAACACGCGCTGCGGGAGAAGGCCAAGGCCTTCTGGGCCATGCGGCGCTCCTACGAGGCCATCGCCAAGCACAATCAGGTGAGTGAGCACGTGGGCTGAGCAGGGCATTGGGGCCACTAGGGCAGTCCGGGGGGTGGGGCGGGCGAAGGTGGGCTGGCCGGGTTTTGGCTAGCATCACCTACCAGGTAACCACTGACCAGAGCTGGCCTCCCTGAGCTCTGACAGCCTGCTGCAGCCTGGACTCCGAGTGTGGCTTCCTGCCCCGGCCCCTCTAAAGACCTGGGCGTGGCCACAGGAGCAGCTTAAAACTCCACCTGCGCCCTCTGTAAGAGAAACTTCAGCACGTACCTCTCCTCACCGTCTGCCCGTGTGACCTGGGGCTCATTAGCGATTCCTGTTTCCTCTCAGCCCCCACGTGCACTGCATCAGCGGTCCTGGCCCCCAGCTCCAAACACATCACACCTGCGCAGCTCTCCACCTCACTGCTGCTCCCCTGGTCCAGGTCGGCATCACTGCTCACCTGGCCCCTACCTGGCCCTTGCCCGGCCTGTGCGTCCTGCTGTCCTGGACTGGGTGACCTTGTAGAGAAACACATCAGCCGCGTCACTTCTCTGCTGCAAACTGCCTGTGGCTTCCCACTGCACTTGGGCACAACCCTCACTCCTTACGTGGCTAAAGCCATCGGACTGACTTGCCTTGTAGGGGACTGTATTTGGGGAGTGTCCATCTGTCCAGGTGGCAACACCACTTGCTCATCCTAGGCAGTGTAAACTCCTAGGCTAAGGACAACATGGTCAGCTGTGAGGCCTCTAGGATTCCAGCTTGATTGACGGTTTTCCTGTTAAATTCCATTAATCCTGGCCGATGAGAGAAGTGAAAGTTTGATGTTCACACCTTTGCAGTGAGGCTGTCCTTCACATTGTTGGGGGGGCAGCTGACTTTGCACTTGCTGATTTTTCCTCCCAGGGATCCCACTTTCTCGAACACAGCTGTTATCGGTCTTTTATCTGTTCTCATTTGCATTGCTTTGATTATTGGTAAGTTCTTTTTCCCCTTGGAAAATTTGTCTTTTCTCCTAGTGGATTTGTATTAGTAAAAGTGCTTTCTTTGTACCTTAAGAATAACAACAGATTGTCATTTATATTTCAAATATTTTTTTAGTTATTTCTTTTTCACTGAATCATTTCGCTTTTTCTGGTCATTGTCACTTGGTCAGTGAATCATTTTGTCATTGTATTTCCAGAGCTGTAAACATACAGACGGTCCCCAGCTTAGGATGGTTCAGTTTTTTGATTTTATACTAGTGTGACATCGATACACACTCAGTAGAAGCTGTACTCCAAGTACCCACACAAGCATTCTGTCTTTCACTTTCAATACGGTATTCAATAAATAACATGAGATATTCAACACTTTATTATAGACTAGGCCTTGGCTGGCTGTGGTAATGTGGTGGCGTGTGCCTACAGTCCCAGCTGCTCAGGAGGCTGAGGCAGGAGGATCAATTGAGCCCAGGGGTTTGAGGCTGCAGTGAGCTATGATCGTGCCATTGCGCTGCGGCCTGGGCAAGAGAGCAAGACCCTGTCTCTAAAAAAATAAAAAAAAATAAAATAGGCTTTGTGTTATACGATTTAGCTCAACCGTTGGCTAATGTAAGTATCCGAACCCATTTAAGGTGGCTAGACTATACCGTGATGTTTGGTAGGTTGGGTGTATTAAATGCATTTTCAACTTCATATTTTCAACTCATAGTGGGTTTGTTGGGACGTAACCCCATCATAAGTTGAGGAGCATCTGTATTGAACTTTAAATCTAAAGACGAGATTACTAAACTGCCATTGCTAGAGCACACATTTTGAGTTGTTTTTCCAGTAGTTGTCATGGAACTATATTTATTATATTTATATATTTAACTTTATTAACAGTCTTCCCATATGAAACCTCTTATTTTCTGTGTATTTAATTATCTCATTCTTTCTTTAAGGTTTCTCAGTTTCATATTATGCTCAGGAATGTCTTTCTCATTCCAAGATAAGGAATATTTCTTTGATTACATTTACGGTTTTGCCTTTGCCTTTTTAACGCTTTTTGTGGTTATGATTTGCGGTGTATAGTTTTACCTATAGGGTTCTCCATATGATTTCTTTCGAACATGGAGTTTCTTTACTAAGAATCTGGAAGTCCCTGGGCTGGGTGGTGGCGGAGGCTCCCTGCACGGCTGACCTCTGACTCCCGCCTGCTCTCTGCCGCAGGTGGAGGCTGCCTGGCTGGAGAGTCGGATCCGGCAGGAGTTCGACAAGCTGCGCGAGTTCCTGCGGGTGGAGGAGCAGGCCATCCTGGACGCCGTGGCCGAGGAGACGAGGCAGAAGCAGCTTCTGGCCGAGGAGAAGATGAAGCAGCTCACGGAGGAGACGGAGGTGCTGGCCCATGAGATCGAGCGTCTGCAGATGGAGATGAAGGAAGACGATGTTTCTTTTCTCATGGTAAGGAGCTCAACGTCTGGATTCAGTGACAGGGGCCAGATGTCAGGGACCAGCTGGGAGCCAGTGATCATCAATCCTGGCCAACCCAGTCTTCCCCGAACTTCCCGGGTGCTGGCCTGGAGACATATACAGGTGATGTGCTTTGTCCCAAAAGGCTAAAAAGACTAATTAGAGCAGAGTTCCTTGGGAACCTCTTATTTTTCTCTTGACTTTCTCTTTTTCCCCCACGCCCCCTGCACTCACTCTTGCTCTCATTTTTTGTATCTTGTTTCTTCTCTCTACCCTTTTATAAAACGGAATCCTTTAAGATTATTCAGTTATTTAAATTTTGGATTTAAATATGATGCCTTGGTATTCTTTCTTCTTAAGAAAAGGATGATTTTATTTTCTCTTTAATAATATTGAGTTCATTTTTACTGATTTCATTTCCACTTCATGAGTCCTTGGTCCTTACAGAGAAGTTTCTGTAACTTGAAAGCTGGTTTGTAAATCAGTGAGGATAGGGAGGTCTCTCTGCTCCCTGGAGAACAGCTGAACTCTCTGGAAAGGGGAGTCTTTTTGGAACAGAGTAGGCAAGGACAGGGACGTCTCTCTGTTCAGGCAGGTGTCACGTCCTGGGCCAGACCTTTGTGGGGTCTCTGCCGTATACAAAACCTTGAACTGTGATGTTTCCTGTCTCCAAAATGCCACCGATTATGAAATCATCTGCTGGGTTTTAAGAGCTGGGGTTCTTGCCAATTAGGAAATTGGACGTGTCGTCTTGCCCAGTACCCAGTGTACTTTCAGGAATGGTTTCTGGCTCTTTTTTTTTTTTTTTTTTTAAAAAATAACAGCTTTATTGAGATATAATTCACATACTACATTTTCTCTACATCAGTGTCTTTGTTTTTTCCTTTTTTTCCAGAAACACAAGAGCCGAAAACGCCGGTAAGTTGCTAAAGCTGGTGGAGGGGAGGGGAAGAGCAGGCAGGATACCAGGGGTGCAAACTTCAGCGGCCCTGGGGCCAGGCAGGTAACATAGCCATTTGGGTGCGACACAGAGGGAATGGCGGGGCCTGGCCAGGCGGAGAGAGCCCCTTCCACAGCATCCTCAATCTGGTTGGCGCTGGGGCAGAGTGTCGTTCTCCTGAGTGTGGAGGGTCCCCATCCACCGTGCACAGAGGGAGAACATGGCTCGTAGTTCTCAGTGGGTCATCCAACAGCAGGCTTGTTCTTGGCCAGCCCCCTGCCTCCGAGAGCCCCAAGCCACGCTGGTTTGTGTTGACGGTTGTTGGGTTCACAGGGCTGAATGAGGAAGAGCTGTGTCCCAGTCAGACCTGTGCAAAGATGGAAGAGAGAGCTTGGGGCAGTAGTGAATTCGCTGTGCTCTCTACTCACTGGCGGTGTGCGAGCAAAAGCCGGATGACACCTTGGGACTGGTGGACTAGAGCACCCTTAGGGTCCCTTCCAACTCAGACATCCCATGAGCCAGATGTGTAAGTTTGGTTTCTGCCCACGAGGATAGCAGCTGTGGCGAAGAACCTCCTATTTGTGTTTGTCCCAGCTGGGGCAGGGTGAGCCCTCGTCCTGGGTCCTGAAGGGCTGTAGCAGCCCAGTAGGCCCCTGGCCTGTTTCCCGTCTGAAGTCCCATCCAGTCTTGTCTTGGGGAAGGCGGCCAGGAGACTTGGGACCGAGGCGAGGGAACGAGTCCTGTTGCCAGATTCCAGTTAACCCAGTTTGGCAGAGGATGCATGGCCCCGGCCCTGCCCGATACCCGGTTCTCCTTCCCAGACTCTTCTGCACCGTGGAGCCCGAGCCCGTGCAGCCGGGCATGCTCATCGACGTCTGCAAGTACCTGGACTCCCTGCAGTACCGCGTCTGGAAGAAGATGGTCGGGTCTGTCGAATCCGGTGAGCGGGGGCGCGGGCAGGTGTTCTGAGCATGCGGGGTGGTTCCAGAGAGCCAGCTGGACTCCTCTCTGCCAGGCCCCACCTGCTCAGAGCTCCCTCCTCGTTCAGCTCATCTCGCACCGGCCCCTCCCAGGCAGGTCCTCTGGTCCCCTTCACTCTGGCCCGACAGTCCTACCCTCCTGGCATGACACCTTCCTATGGGCATCCTGACACTCTGCCACCTCTTCAGAGAGGGAAACCAGCTTCCCTGTCTGTTCAGAACTGTGTCACATATATGATGCAAGACTTCCTTGCTCCAGGGTCACCTCTCCCAAGGGGACTCCAGCCCAATCCAGCCACTGTGTCCTGGCTATACAGGGAGGGCTGCCAGTGACCCAGGGGAGTGGCACGTGCTTTTCTCAGACATCACAGGGTCCTGGGAACGTGATGAGTCCCTGCGGTATAGTTCCCTGTGGCTGCCATAACAAAGACCACAGACTGGGGGGCTTAGAATGATAGAAATTTATTCTCTCACAGGTCGATCTCTGCCTCCGCCACCACGCCCCGTTCTCCCCTGTGCACCTTCGTGTCTCTTCTCTTTTTATAAATATCCCAGTCATTGTGTTGGGGCCCACCCTTCTCCAGCCTGACTTCTTCTTAACTAATACATCGGCCATGGCCCCATTCCCAAATAAGGCCACATCCTGACGTACTGGGTTAGGATGGCCTTGTATCTTTTGCGGGGACACAGTCCAGCCCTTAACACCACCCCTCAGCTCTGGGCAGCTCCGTGCATGGACGGAGTGGGGCTTGGGGTCGGCGTGCCGAGGGGAGGATGTCAGGTTTGCTGATTTCCCCGTTTCCCCTCTCTCGCAGTGCCCTTCAGCTTAGACCCCAACACCGCGGCCGGCTGGCTCTCCGTGTCCGACGACCTCACCAGCGTCACCAACCACGGCTACCGCGTGCAGGTGGAGAACCCGGAGCGCTTCTCCTCGGCGCCCTGCCTGCTGGGCTCCCGCGTCTTCTCGCAGGGCTCCCACGCCTGGGAGGTGGCGCTCGGGGGGCTGCAGAGCTGGCGGGTGGGCGTGGTGCGCGTGCGGCCGGACGCCGGCGCCGAGGGCCACTCGCACAGCTGCTACCACGACACGCGCTCGGGCTTCTGGTACGTGTGCCGCACGCAGGGCGTGGAGGGGGACCACTGCGTGACCTCGGACCCGGCCACGTCGCCGCTGGTCCTGGCCATTCCGCGCCGCCTGCGCGTGGAGCTGGAGTGCGAGGAGGGCGAGCTGTCCTTCTACGACGCCGAGCGCCACTGCCACCTGTACACCTTCCACGCCCGCTTCGGGGCGGTGCGGCCCTACTTCTACCTGGGCGGCGCGCGGGGGGACGGGCCCCTGGAGCCGCTGCGCATCTGCCCGCTGCGCGTCAGCGTCAAGGAGGAACTGGACGGCTGAGCTGGCCCAGCGCTCCTGGCGCTGCCCGGGTCTGTGCCACGGCCCTGTTTCTCTTCCTGCGCCCTCCCTAGTGCCCGCTCTCCCCTGGGCACCGCTCTGCCCCCGCCTCCTGGCCGGGTCTTCCTCCCGTCCCGTCTGGTCCTTTTCCGTGACTCCAGGCCTGGCGCCTCTCTCTCTCTGTTTGGTCCCTTCTCTGCCCACAATAGGAGCCATCCAGGGGGTACCTCGCTGTGCCAGGCTCTCCCCAGAGTCCTGGCACCTTCACGATATAAATTTTCTGAATCCTCCTTCCAGGATTTCCGGGGATAATGTTTGCTTCTAGAACGGGCTTGTTTTATACTGTAGGTTTTATAGTTATCCATGTATGGTGCGATCAGCCAATCGCGAGACGACTGCCATTGGAAAGATCGTTTGTCACTCACAGTCCCTGGAGGAGGGGTCAGGCCAGGCCACAGGGCACATGGGAAATACTGGGTTGGTCAGGGGGTGGGGGCTAGGGGGACCCAGGGGCGAGAGACTGTATGGTGCTTTTCTCAGGAAGGAATGGGCAGGGCAGGGGAGACAGGCTCAGGATTGGCTTGCTGGAGTGATTTTAGCAGCTCTGGGCACAGTGGCTGCCACTGGTTGTCTGACACCTGGCGCTGGGATGGTCAGGACAAGGGAACACTGGCCTGGCCAGAGAGAGCCCCATGAGAGCCAGATGCAGGAGGCGGTGGGGGTGCAGCCCTGGGTGGCTTGGTTTGCTGCAGCCGAGATGTTTGCCAGCCTGGGAGGGGCAGTCCCTCCAGGGCCAGTGACGCCCCAGATGCCCGAGCATCAGGGATACAGTAAATAAGAAAACATAGTTCATGCGGGGCTGCTGCTGTGGCTCTGGGACAGGACTCGGGGCTCAGCTTCTCTTTCACTTTATGTCAGTATTTTAAAACTTCTCTACGGGTCCCCCCTCCCCACCGGATCAGCTCTGATTTATATCTATACCTCTTGGATGATTTCCTCTGAACAGAGGGTTCTGGAGCACTTAAAAACAAAATATTTATAACAGTGGCGTCGGCCTGTTCCCCAGGCCTCAGTGTCCTCGCCTGTGGATGAGATGGGGCTGGACCAGGACGTCCTTCTGTGGTTGCTGGGGAAGAAGTTCCTCTGGCTCATTCTCATCAGATTCTGACAAGGGAAGGAAAGGGGCGCCCTTTTTTGGTTAGGAAGAAAGGAAAGGGGTGCCACCCAGGGGTGGCACCATGGTTGTGGCCCTAGACGCTTTGTGAGCGGGAGGGACACAGGTGCCGCCTGCTCATCTCTGCTGACCTCAACCTGCTCATTCTTGCTCTGCTACTTGCGTTTTCATCCCACATTTCTTCTCTCTCCACGTGCCTGCAGGCTCGTATCTGTGCCTGGCCTCTCTCACACACGCCTCCAGAGAGTTTTTAGTTTTCAACTCACTGTGTCCCAGGAAGCAGCGTTGTAAAAGGAACGCCGGAAGCGCACTGTTAAAATTGGGGGCACATTCCTGGCTGAGGCCTGGGTGTCCCGCCTCCTGTCTGTACCCCCAGTTCACAACACTGTTTCAAACAACTCATGACTCTCACCTATGAGTTGGTGATAAATGTGTGCCTACGTTGGTTACATAAAAAGTAGGGCCAGGGAGGAAATGCTGCCACCGTGTGAAGCGGGCGGGTTGGGCGAGGTGTGGCTGTTGGCAAACGGGGGCATGTCCCTGGTTGAAGACGCTTCCAGCACTTTGGGAGCCAAACACGTCCGAGAGCGCACACCCTCCGCTACAAACCGCCCGGCCTATCACATATAATTTCTATATGATAAACTGGACCTGAAATTATTTTGTCAGTAACAATAAACTTTTTTTAACCTGGTTCTTAGTGTGCATACAATAAACTTTTAAAATTTTTTTTATTTTCACCTTAGATGTTGAAAGAGTTTTTTTTAAAAAAAAAAAACAGGATAATTTGAATAGCCAAGGCCTAATTTTTTTTTTTAAATGATATTTGAGCTAAAACCCACTATTTTCTTTTCAGTGTTTTTATAAACAAAAGTTCATCCATGTTGTAGCAGGTGTCTGACTTTATTCCATTCTGTTGTTGGATAATATTCCATCGTATGGAATGATACACGGTATTACCTTTTATCTGTTCATCAGTTGGTGGACATTTGGGCTGTTTCCACTTTTCAAGTATCATGAATAATGCTGCCACGAACATTTGTGTACAGGTTTTCATGTGGACGTATGTTTTCAGTTCTCTTTGGTATATACTCAGGAGATCTTCTGGATCATATAGTAACTCTGTTGAACCCTTTGAGGCGCTGCCAGGCTGTTTTCCAGCACGGCTGCGCCATTTTACATTCCCACCAGCAGTGTGGTAGTGTTCCGATTGCCCCACGTCCTTGCCAGCACTTGTTACTTTCTGTCTTTTCACTTAGCCATCCTAGTGGGGGTGAGGTAGTATCTCATTGTGGTTTGATTTGCATTTCCCTGATGGCTGATGATATCAAGCATCTTTTCTTGTGTTTATTGGCCATTTGTATATCTTCTTAGGAGAACTATCTTCAGTTCCTTTGCTCATTTTTAATTGGGTTATCTTTAGTATTGAGTTGTAAGAGTTCTTTATATATTCCAGATACCAGTCCCTTTATCAGACATATGATTTATAAAACTTCTCTCCCGTTCTGTGAGCTGTTTGATTTTCTTGATGCTGTCCTTTGCAACACTAAAGTTTTTAATTTTGAAGATTCCTAGTTTTTATTTTTTTTTTTTGTTGCTTGTGTATCCTAGAAATCTTAACTTTTGACACTGCCCTAAATCTGTATATTCTAAGTTCTAGATTCTAGCTCAGGGATGGGGCAGTTGTTCTGGCAGGAAGTCCTAGTCCAACAGTCCGTTAATTCTTCCTTTAAACCCTGTCCTGCCCTCGCCTTCCACTCACCCCATCTCACGCCCCTTCTCCTTCCTGCATCCGGGCGTGAGGCAGCCGCTCCCCGGGAAGCCTCCTGTTGTCCATTCCATGTACTGTGGCCAGATGCACCATCCTTCAGCCTCTCCTGCCACCCCGAGGGACCCTGCTCCCAACCTGCCCAAGTTCATTCCTCCAGGGAAGCTCTCAGAGCTCACTGTCACCAGCTCTGCCTTCGTACCTGGAATTTCCTGACTTCCGTCACACACCAGCCAGTCCAGGCTCCTGTTACCCTTACCAGGGTACTGTTGTCATTGGAATGTCCTGACATCAGTTACTCTGGCTGCTGGGCATATTGGCTCTACCACTTACGTACTGAATCCCCTGGGCACACCCTTCACCTTCCTGAGCTCATTTGTTCCTCTAGAGATGGGGATCGCCCCCATGCCCCATGTCCTGAAGGCGTGATGCAGGGTTAGGGTTAGGGCGTGCTGAATTTTTCAGAAACGGAGCCGTGGGAGCAGGCTTGGGAGCACCAAACGAGAGAATGAGAGGGTCCCTCGTTGACTTCCCTGACTCCCTGTCACCTCCACGTCAGCCACCAGGTATTAGTTGGTCAGAATTTGGTGCCCAAGGGCCATTTCTTTCTTCCTTGCTTCCTCTTGCTGGTGGAGAATGAAATTTCTCTCAACAGTTCGATGGTTGGTTCAATATCACAATAGCGGAATAGTGGGAGTCTTTCGCAGCCCCTGTGGTTTGAGACGGGGCCCTGGCAGGAATTTCCCAGCTCCTCAGGGTGACATGCAAGAGCCCTCCCCATTGGCGCCGGCCACCGTTATCACCACTGTTTACACAGATGCTGCTTGGCCTTCCTGGGCACATTCCTGGCGCCAGCTCCATTGTCCTCCTACCTGTAGCACCTGCCCCGGCCCCCCCAGTCCTCTTGCTCGGCTCGCTGGTACCTTCCCAGGCCCGCCCGGCTCCCCTGGCTGCCGCTGCACGTTGTCCGTCCTGCTGGACTTTGCACCTCGCTGTCTGTCTCCTCTGCATGGAGATCTGTGCGTGCAGGGACCACGCCATCTTCCCTGTCTAGCCCCAGACTCAGGGGTGTCACTTATTAGTGGTATGTGTCTAGTTGGAGATGTGCACCGCAGGTCAGAAGGGCTGTCCTTTGAGGCCCCACTAATCTCTTTGGTGAGGAGAAAGTGTCATCAAACCTGAAATCCAGATTCCTGGATCCAGAGACCAACCGTACGACTGTGAGCTACCTGGCCGTTCCAGCCCCTGCTCCCTCCTGTAGAGTGAGGAGTCCAGTGTCTACCTCCAGCAACTTTTAGCAAAAATGCCCGGTACTGTATCCTAAACCTGATACAGGATTAGTGCATTCTGCCTAATTATTCAGAAAATGGGAGATTCTGAATGTTGAAATTATGATTCGTGATAATGACGAATCCCAAAGAAAGGTGAGAAATTGAGAAATGTTAAGTTATCTATGTTGGGATTTTTAACAAGGATGTGTGTATAAAACTTAACATTTATGAAAAATTTCAGTAACAGGAGAAAATGGCTTTGTTGTACTAACCGAGAAAAATAGGACTCGGGGTTATAGGCACAGACCTGCCGCGTCCTCACAAAATGGCAAGCAGGAGCTTGTCCTTAATTTGTGTGGTTTGATTAGATAATCCGTTTACGTGGCTGGAAACCAAAGGTACAAAATGTACTAGAACAATCTCTTTCCTTCCTCAGCCCAGACACTCAGCGTCCATGTAGCAATCCATAGTGCCAGTTTCGTTTAATCCTTGCAGGCATGTTTTATGCATACATAGCACATGCTCTAAGTATATTTTGGTTCCCCTACTACACTGTGGTTTAAGAGCAGATACTCCAGCTCTCTCTAAGCAGCTCAGTCAAGAGGAGAAGACTCAAAGGAGGTTATTAAAATCATTTCCCTCTCAAAGGGGAAGGCTCATCCCGGATGTTTTCGTGCAGTCAGTTCAATTCGTGGATTTTGCCTTTTGTTCTTGTTTAAACTATTTTACCCTAGGATTTTGAAACAAAGAGAAAAAGCAAAGTGGAAACATTAAATCTGAGACCTCAACATACATTTTAAAAATCTCAGTCCTCACAAAGGTACCCAGTGGGTAAGAGGCTGGGATATGGTATCAGGCAATCTGGGTTCACACTCTGACCCAAGAGCTCTGTGACGTTGGGAGAGTTACTTAACCTCTCTGTGCCTCAGTTTCATCATGAGAAAAATGGAAATAATAAGAGTTCCTACCTTATAGTTGTGAGATTAAATGAGCAAATATATAAATACTTAGAATAGAGGTCTGGCATACCCTTAGCAGATGACGGTTTACTGTTGTCTTACCTGGCTCTGCAGGACTGATACAGTCATTCAGCTTCTCTTCTGTAAACAGGGAAACTTGGGCACTTGCATATTTTTTTTTCTAGTTCTAACATCCTGAGAGTCACTAGCAAAAGCCTGTGTCTTACACACACTGGGGACTGCTGCTTCAGGGCGCTGCTGCCAGCCGATATTCAGGAACCTGGGTGTTGTCCCAGAAGCTTTGCCTCATGTTTTGAGCCTGGGGAAAAAAACAAGACCAATGAGTCACAATGTTTTAGGCATAAGAAAGGTTATTGGAGAGAGGAGCCGGTCTTGAAAAATTGCTCATAAAATTAGTAATTGATTATGCGTGATAAAATGGTGTTGTCATGTTCCAGAGGTGACTGATGTATGTGTAAGATTAAAGGCGATGACAAATACTGATTCATGTCTGCTGTGAGGATGACCTTAATGTCCAGCAGTGGTGGAGCAGTTTGGATTGGACAGAGATGATTGTTAGTGATGAGAGATGCTGAGATCGTATCATCTCCCTTCGAGATTTCAAAAAGAAAATGCAGCTTCTGACACTGGCCTGTACCACCCATCCCTTCCCACCGGCCGTGATCCGAGGACCCAGCAAGATGGGTTCAACGACACCTAAAGTCCGGTGTCCCAGGGCGGAGGGAAGCTCTCCTGCTGTGGGGCGTTGTTTGTCCTTCTTTGTGGGTGTCACTTGGGTGGGTTTCTTCTGGCAGGGAACAGGCAGAGGAAGATGGGAGATGCTGGTTTCTATGGATACTGGGCTAGCTGGGATTTGCATAATGTAGTTCAAATAACAGACAGTCTGGGAACAATGTGGACCCAGGAGGAACATAGAGGCACATGGAGACGAGTTGCAGGGTCTGGGTAGCCAGGCTCCATCTCAGCTCTCTTCCAGGGACACTGATCTGTG